GAAAAGTCATGGAAAGTCAAGGAACTTTTGCTATGCCCTCACATTCCTATCTCACTAATAGAAGGCCTATTTTATCACTTCTGATTAGTGAGTCTTTCCATTAATTTTCACAGATATTTTAGTCTGTTTTCAGCCTTCAGCATATTTCCTGATATATTTCCTCTAAGGTACTCCACCTAGACAATGTACACTTGACTTAGGACACATTTCTAGAAAGAATTTAAACTTTCCCTCACAGATTTATGTAAAATCATCAATAGCACACTGTCTCATAATAGGTCTCAACAACTGAAATGCTTTCCAATGAGAAATATATGGTTTATAAAAGTGTACTCAATTTTCCAACATTATGAATATCTTTACACCAGACCACATGTGGTTAAAATACTGCAAACTCAAATCCCTAGACTGGTCTAGGCAGCGATCTTTGGCCTCATATTAAAAGACAGACCTCGGGACTTCCCTGGTGATCCAGTGGTTAAGACTCTGAGCTCCCAGTGCAGAGGGTCCGGGCTCAATCCCTGCTCAGGGAACTAGATCCCACGTGCCACAACTAAAAAGTCCGCATGCCGCAACTAAAAAGATCCTGCTCGCACGTGACACCAAAGATCCCACGTGCTGCAACTAAGAAAGACCCAGTGCAGCCAAATAAATAAATACTTTTTAAAAGACGGACCTCAATAAATATTCCCAAAATAGTTTAACTCAGGGACCAGATACTTATAAAATACTACCTACTATAAAACCAGCAGACTCAATAATAAATTTTACATCCAAGAAATATAAAGAGGGCTTCCCCGGTGGCGGAGTGGTTAAGGATCCGCCTGCCAATGCAGGGGACACAGGTGTGAGCCCTGGTCCTGGAAGATCCCACATGCCGCGGAGCAACTAAGCCCATGCGCTACAACTACTGAGCCCACGTGCTGCAACTACTGAAGCCTGCACGCCTAATGCCCATGTTCCGCAACAAGAGAAGCCACCACAGTGAGAATCCCACGCACCGCAACGAAAGAGTAGCCCCCACTCGCCGCAACTAGAGAAAGCCTGCGCACAGCAATAAAGACTGAACACAGCCATAAATAAATAAATAAAATTTATTTTTTAAGAAAAGAAATATAAACATACAAAACTTAATACGCTACTAAAAACTGCAAGATAGCTTTCACTTTCAGAAAGCAAACTTTAAGCCATTATAAAGGGTTTTCATATCCTAGTCCACCTTGCTGACAAAAATTGAAAAAGAATATTAACTGAGAAAGAACAGTGCCTGAAGATAAAGATACCACAAATTATGAACCTGAAAAGCGCTCCCAAGGTTATAAATTTAAGCCCAAGGAACCTCACTGCTCTTTTAAATAACCAGACAAAATAGCTATTCTGCTATATGACTGCCTGATAAGGTATTCTCAAACAACCTACAGGCTATTATCTTGGTCCTTATCTCTCCTTTTAACATGTGTTTAAGCAAAATATTTTTAATACCATACATCCCCCTTGCTAATGGTCTCCTCAGATATACAGAGGGCAGTGATGCCAACACTCAACAGTCATACTATCTAAATGCACAATTCATACATGAGCCCCTAAAATAACATACTTAATTTTACAAGCTGCATAATATTATTTTTAGGTTATGCTTAATGCTTTATATTCATTATTCATCAAAGAAGAGGAGCCGTGTTTACTTTTATTTCATTTAGGTTTAAAGTTGATAAAACAATAGGTTAAAAAGCACCCTCTCCTATTCTGTCCCTCAAAAATGGGCTACAAAGCAATAGAAATCTAACTTTTTTCTTGAGCTCCCAGTGGGCGGCCCTTCCTAATTCCCTAACTGAAGATGAAACACTGCACCTGATAAAAGGCAACCTCCCAGCACCAGTTCCATTCTGGCAACACTGATGCTGCCCCAAATACCAAGGAAAAGCTAAGCTAACTATTTTCTAGATTAGTATTATCAAGCTACAAACAAAAGCTTTATTTTCTAGACTAATGGAGGTTAAGGAAATTCCATGATTGGCATGAGTCCAAAATCAGCATGTCCCCAAGCTTTCCCTGGAGTGCTAAAATATGCTTGGGAGTCACCTTCAAAGATCCAGCTCATCCCCCGGCACTGCCATGAAGCACTGTGATCCCAGAGTTCCCACACCTCCTGCACATCTGGGGCCCTAGATTAAAATGTATGTTCTCTTGTTACATGTTACATGCATGTAATGTTCTCTTGTTACGTTTGTAAAAACTGTACATTTTACTGTATGTAATAATGCCTCAATAAAATTTTAAAAATTAAAACACATTTTTAGACCCCTCTGCAGATCTGAGGGTTTTCTTTTTTTAAGCTTCTGAGTGATGCCATGTGAGAACCACTACTCTGAACTACATCACATGTACCTTCCAAGATGTGGAAAGTCAAGAAACACCGGGTCTGAAGTCAGACACCTAGAATCAAAACACAGTTCCATTACTAACTCACTATATGCCCTTGGAGAAAGAGAAAATTTCACTGAGCCTGTTGCCTAATCTGGAAGCTGGGTATAACAAACACCCACCTCAGAGGATAACTGCAAGACTTAAATGTTTATGAAGTATTTGGCACAGTGTCTAACATGAACACGTAAGCATCATCGTTACCATCATTTTAAACCAATCTTTATTTGGTATTTCTCTCAGACCTATGAGACATACTCCAGCTAATCTAAAACTTTTGAAGAACTTCTTAGACACACATGCCTAGCCTCATCCCTAATGACTATGATGTGTTAAGTCTGAGGTGGGGACAGGTTTGGGAATCACACTGCTCTAGGGAACATGTGTGGCAGAACATGACTATAATCAGGGCCCACAATTCCTAAGATAAACTGAACAGCTCCTTCTAGTTTCCGATGACAACTAGTCTCCTACCTTAAGATAAGTAGTGTAATGATATCAGAATGAGGTTTTCTAACAAAAGAAAGGTGGCACCAACTCAACTCTCCTAATAAAAAATACAAAGATTAAATCTTTATTGAATTCCCTCAAAGTTAAGACCAAAGTATATTCTTTGGTCAATACACAATCAATACACTGCCTCTCCAACAGGTATACCCCTGGACAGTACAGAAAGAACAAATGGAAAGAAAACAATACCTTATTTATTTCTTTAGTTCTCATTATCTAAGAGATAGCTTTTCATGACTTTTATAAGGACTAATGAGTTTATTAAAGCTCTTAGAAGAGTACATGAAAAAAAAATTTTAAGAGTGCCTGACTGGTGGCAAACACCGAAATTACAATACTCAGAATCCTCATGGCCAGTGGTCACAAAGAGCTGGCTACATGGCTGTGATTCTTTTTGCTGAATCTCTGGAATTTACATCCATCTCTAATGAGGCAGTACAAAACCACGAAGGAACTAATGTTTTGCACTGCTTAAAAATCAAGTGCTTCTCAAAACAGGAACTAGGCTCTAAAAACGGTATACGTTGAGAGCAGATCATCTCTTTTCCAATTCTCTTTCAAGAACATAGGAAAAGACAAAAGAATTAAAACTCTCAAACTTTTCACAGCAAAATAGGGGTGTTTTTAATATTTAATCATCCAAATCATATAAAACTAAAGCAACTGGGTTGTTGGGCTGACGTCCAAGACTATCCAATAAAGACCTCACATCCGGGGGGGTGGGGTGGGGGGTTGTGATGAATTGGGCGATTGGGATTGACATGTATACACTGATGTGTATAAAACTGATGACCAATAAGGACCTGCTGTATAAAAAAATAAAGTAAAAAATAATAATAATTTTTAAAAACACGACCTCACACTCATCCTGCCACTTTCTCACTCCCATAATCTACATTTAAAACAAGCTGATTTCCTGAAATAGGAATCTGGCAACGACAAGAAAAAATATATATAGCCACATGTAAAATGTTATTATATCGTAAAACTCATATTAGAGTATCAAGACAGTGGATACTTTTAAGAGTTGCAATGGCTGTTTGAAGGAGGACCCAAACTGAAGACCTGTAAAGAGAAGAAAATATCTGGACTAGATCACAATGCAGAAAATAAAACCTGATAATAAAACCGATTCTCTGGGAAGAGCATGTGCAACCGCCAAGGCGAGAAGTCGTTTTCCCTCAAAAGAGAAAGGCTTAATGCCCAGAGTGCTACAGTACTGAATCGTGAGTATCAGCAAAGAGATGGAAAGAAAATAGAGGCGATAATCTGGGTGAGACAAGACCCGAATTCTCATGGGAAGAAAAGCAGACAAAGCTTAGTATACACAACACGGAATCCAGTTTTAGGCTTGCAGCAACTCAACCATTTTCCTTGAGCCCAAAATCTCCAGGTAAAAAGGATGTAACGTCTTGCAGCTCTCTGGAAATCCACGGAAAACAGACACTGGGGATTCAAACGACTTGAGGGGGGAGGGGAGGTGGTGAAAATGGGTCAAAAGAAGTCTTCCCGAGGAAAAAAATAATGCGATTCTCGGCCGAAGAATGCACAAGGAACTAAGAACCGGGAGGGAGAAAAGGTCCTGGGTACGGACGCTACACTCGGACAACCGAGAAGCAGACGCGCGAGGCCGGATGGGGCCGAACACGCAGCCTCCGGCGTTGGGGGACCCGAGGCCTCCAACCAGATGTCAGCCCAGCACCAACCTGGGACCACCGAGCGGGGGCACTGTCTCCGCGCGGGAAAAACGGCGACCGGGCCGGAAGGGGGCAGGGCGAAACGCGAGGGCGCCCCGCCGGGCACTTACGCGGCCGCTTCTTCCTGAGGCTTTCGACGCGCTGACGGGAGGCCGACGTAGCGCCGCTGTAAGAGCCGGGCCGGTCCCGCCTTACGCCCTCCGCCGAAGCCGAGGCCCCGACGGCGGGAGCCGACGCGCTGTTCGCCCGGCGCCGCAGTGGCTCCCGCCGCCGCCCATCGGGGCCGCCGGGCGCCGGCTCCCGGACCGACGAGGCGGAGACCCCCCAGTGGCGCTCCATGGGCGCGCCAAGCCGGCCCGCTCCCATCCGCAGGAGGAACCGCTGCCGACCGAGCCAGCCCCCAATGCCAGTGCCCTCGTCGCCTCCTCCACGGCAATCCAGCCAGAGCAGAAGAACACCCTCGGCAGGCCGCCTCTTCCGTTGCGCCAACACGCAGCAAGCCAATCCAAACAAGCTGGGGGCGGCCCGAAGGCCTCTTGTCCAATCGGCTGCCTGATTCGAGGCGGATCGACCGCGCCTCCGCCCAATGAAAGGCTCGGGGCGGGGCGGAGGACGGCAAGGGAGGGGATCCGGGCTGGGCAGAGGAGAAGGCGGTGTTGCTGAGCACAGAGTGATGGCGGCGCCGCCCAATAGACGCGTTGGTGGAGGGGTCTGCGCCCCCTTACACCGGGGTGCACAGGTAGGCGCTCCGGGCCCCAGAACTCTCCCGGGAGCCGCCTCGCGCCCCCGAGCCCCGCCGTGCTGCTGCGTCTCGTCGTCTCCCGGCTTGCGCCCTTCTCCAGCCCAGCGGTGTGCCGCAGGGTCTGGTCGCCAACCGTTGGCAAACAGAAGGGCTTGAACCGCGGCTGAATTTAGCCTTTGTCCCTCGACCTGATTCCACTACTGCCGTCAAGGCCACCAGTCCTCCGCGCTCTGTTTGACCGCCACCCCCTTCCCCAGCACTGCCACTGGCGTGTTTAGGCTAAGCCCCCTTCATTCCTCCTGCGTTAGACAGATGTTCCCAGTACGAGAACTAATGAAAGGACTGGGGTTGGTCTCCATGGCAACTGGAAGAAAGAGGTGGGTTATAAATCCTTTGCCACCCTCCTGTAGTGAAGGAGGGGGGTGTGGGAGCCAGGAAGTAGGGTTGGCTCTTGGAAGGAGAGTCTGGACCCCCTTTCTTTGTGGTGCAGTGGAGGACATAGAAGGATTTGGTGGCCGCCTCAGGGCCTGGGTTGTTGGGGATTTGGTCTGATTGGTTTTTTTTTAAATCATTGTTTTTTTGTTTTTTAAATCATTTTATCACCTTCTTTTTGCGGGTGAGAACATGGTCACCTCCAGCCCTGAGATACTGACCAAAGGTCCATCCAAGCGTCTCTTCTCCCATAGGTTGCCCATGCCTGGAATGACCCGTGGCTCTGTACCCCCAAGGCACTCCCTCATTCTGTCAAGTTGAACGGGATTGTGGGTTTATCTTGCTAGCAAATTATTTCATAAGTGCCTCCCCTGAGAGACTGTAATGCCCCTTATGTTCTTCATCTTTCCTGTAATGACTGCTAGTAGCAGGGTGAACAAGAAATATGAGCTTCTCTCTTGCTTATTGAATACAATTGCCATGCTCACTCAAAACTAGCTCCCTGGGACTTCCCTGGTGGCACAGTGGTTAGGAATCCACCTGCCAATGCAGGGCACACAGGTTCGATGCCTGGTCCGGGAAGATGCCACATGTCGTGGAGCAACTCAGCCTGTGCGCCACAACTACTGAGCCTGCGCTCTAGAGCCCGCGAGCCACAACTAGTGAAGCCCACACACCTAGAGCCCGTGCTCCGCAACAAGAGAAGCCACCGCACTGAGAAGCCCACACACTGCAACGAAGAGTAGCCCCCTCTCAGCGCAACTAGAGAAAGCCCGTGCGCAGGAACGGTAGGATTAACTCTGGAAACCCTATTTCCTAACTCTGGAAATTCCGTCTCCTGCAGGAAGCCACCCCAGAGGGATCCTACAAAAACCAAGAAAACGTATAGCTACTCTTCTAAATCTCAGTGCCCAGCATTGCCTACGTTTCTGCCTCCCCCAGCAACAACAAAAAAAAAACGGTTCTCCTTGACCTGAGGAAACTTCCATCCAGGTCTGTGAGCTGCAATAGATCATCCTGAAGAATCAAGAATCATCATCACCTGAGACTGCCAAGACGAATCCCAACATCAAAACAACACTTGAGGGCTTCCCTGGTGACGCAGTGGTTGAGGGTCCGCCTGCCTGATGCAGGGGATACAGGTTCGTGCCCCGGTCCGGGAAGATCCTACAGGCCGCGGAGTGGCTAGGCCCGTGAGCCATGGCCACTGAGCCTGCGCGTCCGGAGCCTGTGCCCCGCAACGGGAGAGGCCACAACAGTGAGAGGCCCGCGTACCGCAAAAAAAAAACCAAAAAACAAAAAAGCACTTGAAGCTTGTGTACCTTTTCTTTCTTTACTGTGTATAGTGTCTTTTATCTTTTTAAAATTTATTTATTTATTTTTGGCTCCGTTGGGTCTTCGTTGCTGCACGCGGGCTTTCTCTAGTTGCGGCAAGCGGGGTCTACTCTTCGTCGCAGTGCACGGGCTTCTCAGTGCGGTGGCTTCTCTTGTTGCAGAGCACGGGCTCTAGGTGCGCGGGCTTCAGGAGTTGTGGCTCGCGGGCTCTAGAGCGCAGGCTCAGTAGTTGTGGCACACGGGCTTAGTTGCTCCACGGCATATGGGATCTTCCCAGAGTGGGGCTCGAACCCATGTCCCCTGCATTGGCAGCTGGATTCTTAACAATTGCACCACCAGGGAAGCCCAGAAAATAAATTTTTTAAGAGAAAAATGTATCATGGATTTACACTAATTTCCATTCATTTTTAAGGTTACAGAGTTTTTACTTAGCTTCTTTTATCTTAACCTGAAAATCTAAGGACTTCACAACATTCACTACTTATTTGCTTTATCATTAAATATATAGATAATAGTTTCAGAATAAAAATATCAGTATTACCAATGATGTGATTATTAAACACTGTTTAAGATTTTTCTGCCGTTCTTTTTTGTCCTTAGGATACGTTGCACTAGGGATGAAAAATCAAATTGTGCTTTAAAGTCATTTGAAATAATTTCTTTCTGTGTAGTTCAGCCAACAACTCAATACAGAATTGAGTCCTTTTTTTTCCATTTTGATTCAATTTTTAGAGATTTAAATTTTTTCTTGCTTTTTCTAATGAAAGAAGCTACCATGTTGTGTGCTGCCCTATGAAGCAACCCATGTGGCAAGGGACTGAAGGCAGCCTCTGGCCAACAGCCAACAAGGAAGTGCAGCCCGCAGAGCAACATTTCAATGAGGAACTGAGACTTCCCTGGTTGTGCAGTGGTTAAGACTCTGCACTCCCAATGCAGGGGGCCCAGGTTCAATCCCTGGTCAGGGAACTAGATCCCTCATGCCACAACAAAGAGCCCGTATGCTGCACTAAAGATCCCGCACGCGGCAATGAAGATCCCACGTGCCGCAACTAAGACCTGGCAAAGCCAAATAAATTTAAAAAAAAAAAGTGAGGAACTAAATCCTGCAAGAACCATGTGAGTGAGCTTGGAAGTGAATCCTCCCCAAACTGCAGCCCTGGCCAACACCTTGATTGCAGCCTTGTGAGAGACCCTGAGCCAGAGGACGCAGCAAACCTGCACCTGAAATCTTAACCCACAGAAACTGAGATACTAAATGTGTTGTTTTAAGCTATTAAGTTTTGGAATAATTTCTCATGCAGCATTAGTTAATGGATCACCTCCATAGGGGCTGTGTTATATATACTCTTAACTGTTGGATGACTGCAGGGAAAGTAGAATGCTGATTAATCAGTTAATGATGAGGTCAACTGATGAGATCAGTTGACCAATGGTCTTGAGTAGAATTGTGTGGGGCTCTGGCTTTGCCCTGTTCTCCATTTCATTAGTGATTTGGTGGCTCATCCTGCACATGTTGGGGAAAAATCCAGAGCCAGAGGATCCTCAACCAACTGAAACAATGACCAAGTTGTTTGGATTGTTGCATGAACTAAATTCAATTCAACAAAGACCCATTAAGCTTGGCAACAATAGTTTGTGGAGCAATACAGGGGGCTGTAGAGAAGGCCCTGCACCCCACTGCTATGAAATGGACCCGAGAGAGCATCCCCAGCCCCAGGCCAAGGGTGGGATTAAGTCAGGGCTATCAAATGGCACAGAAGTACATAGAGAGAGGCAAGGAATGATGTCTATCAACCCCCCTAAAAAGGAAACAGGATTGCAAGGGATTAAAGGACATTATCAATTGTTGCTCTTTCTCTTTAGTCAAAAAAGTCTGCTTAAAAATGCAGTGACTAGGGCTTCCCTGGTGGCGCAGTGGTTGAGAGTCCGCCTGCCGATGCAGGGGACACGGGTTCATGCCCCTGTCCGGGAAGATCCCACATGCCGCGGAGCGGCTAGGCCCGTGAGCCATGGCCACTGAGCCTGTGCGTCCAGAGCCTGTGCTCCGCAACGGGAGAGGCCACAACAGTGAGAGGCCCGCGTACCGCAAAAAAAAAAATTTTTAATGCAGTGACTCAATGAGTCAGCACCTGCTTTTAACAAGATCCCCAAGAGGATTTGTATCTCTACTGAAGTTGGAGACACTCTGGACTATATAACTCTGTATAGTTTGAAATTTTTTTTAATTTCACTTTTTTATTGAAATATACTTGATTTACAATGTTGTGTTAATTTCTGCTGTACAGCAAAGTGACTCAGTTATACGTACATTCTTTTTTATATTCTTTTCCATTATGGTTTATCCCAGGATATTGAATATAGTTCCCTGTGCTATACAGTAGGACCTTGTTGTTTATCCATTCTATATGTAATAGTTTGCATCTACTAACCCCAAACTCCCAGTCCACCCCTCTGCCACCTGCCCTCCCCCTTGGAGGACAAGTCTATTCTCTTGAGTCTGTTTCATATATAGGTTCATTTGTGCCCTATTTTAGATTCAACATATAAGTGATATCATATGGTATTTGTTCTTCTTCTGATTTACTTCACTTAGTATGATAATCTCTAGTTGTGGTATTTTATTTATTCTTTTTTAAAATTTATTTATTTATTTATTTTGGCCTCGCTGTGCAGCTTTTGGGATCTCAGTTCCCTAACCAGGGACTGAACCCAGGCCATGGCAGTGAAAGCCTGGGATCCTAACCACTTGACCACCAGGGAACTCCTGGTGGAATTTTAACTTTTTACAGCAAGCAGATATTCGTGTATTACCTGTGTAATTAAAAGATGATTTAAAGAGACTAGATTATAAGGAAGGTGAAAATTCTGAAGGGAGACTGACCCCCTGGACTGGGACTCCTGGAAGGAAGGAGTCCACTGAGCCAGGCCAGAAGGTGACAGCCAGCCACATGTGGAGAACTGAGGAGCTTGTCTCTGAGTAGAGACTCCTGAAAGTGAAGGTGGGAGTAAAAAGGGGGAGGGGTCCTGAACAAGCTCCCCAGATTGAAAGTTCTATTTACATTCACTGCAGGAGCCTCACTTCAAGCAGATATCTGGCCAGGGTAGATCCTCAGAACTGTGGGCTGAATAAAAGAAATGTTAAAGGATCTTAAGTTCTAGAAGTAATAATAGCAGAATTACTGGAAACGTGAGTCCATGGGCTCACAATTCTAACGACATCGTCCTGATAGCAAGTAGTGAAAAAAGCAATTCTTTCAGCAGTTACCACAGTTTCTCTCTTTCCCAATTCCTTTGGACAGATCTCCTGCAAGAAGCTGATTTCCAACTGCATGTGATAATGAAAGGATTTTTCTTTCTTCTTATGTTAAGTACAAGCAAACTGATGAAATAGGAGACAGCATCTGATTGCTAGGAAATCAGCGATTCAGACAGTATGGCAGTGGCACTTGGGGATGGGGAAGGACAGAGGAGGGGAGGAAGCTGGTACAGCCAGTCCATGCCAAGGACACTCAAGGGCTGATGGGACTGAGCTCTGGAGGAGGAAGGATTTGACATCACCTGGTCCAGCCTCATGGTTTATGGGTCCAGGAAGGAAAGGGACGCCAGGAGCTGGCTGTGGACCCAGGACTAGAACCCAGGGCTACTTCCCTTCTTCATCTTTCTCACTGTTCCCATTTTCTCTCCCCACCTCCACCTTTCTGGCTGCTGCCCACCCCGTCCCCCCAGGTCCCTTCTGTCTTTGAAGTACCCTTTTCAGCATGTATATTTTACTTCAATAAAAAGCTGTGGGGTTGAGGGGGTATTTTTCTTTTATTGCTGTTTTTATAGAAACAGCATTGAGTAAGTAGAAGGAAGATATTCAGTGTAAGTTGTTTGTGTGGTTTTTTTTTATTATTTTTGGCTGTGTTGAGTCTTCATTGCTGCACTCAGCCTTTCTCTAGTTGCGGCAAGTGGGGACTACTCTTTGTTGCAGTGCGTGGGCTTCTCATTGCGGTTGCTTCTCTTGTTGCGGAGCACAGGCTCGGCGCACGGGCTTCAGTAGCTGTGGCGTGTGGGCTTCCATAGTTGTGGCTTGTGGGCTCTAGAGCGCAGGCTCAGTAGTTGTGGCACATGGGCTTAGTTGCTCCCCAGCATGTGGGATCTTCCCGGACTAGGGCTCGAACCCATGTCCCCTGCATTGGCAGGTGGATTCTTAACCACTGCGCCACCAGGGAAGCCCCCAGTGTAAGTTTTTTAAATGCAGGCAGGAAGGTGAGAATTTACTCTGAAGAATTTGAGGTAAGCCATGAGAATTTAGAAAGACTAATAAGTGAGAGGGATCTATTCAAAAAAGCTTCCAAAAGGAGCTGGGCTTTAAGCCAGGCCTTAAAAAAACTTTAGTGGGTGCAGTAGCTAAGCCATGACTTGCAGCAGAGCCCTCTAGCCGTTGGCCTTATCCTTACAGGCAGCACCACTGACCCCAGGGAGGGATAGGGAGCTGGATGAAGCATGTATGTGCCCACTCCCATCCCATTCCGGCAGTGGAGACCCCTCGCAGAGCCCATATCCTTCCCTCTGAGAGACTGAATATACAAAAGGACAGTGGCCAGACCATATATGACAATAGAACTCTCTGCAGTAACCAGCCTGGAAAGCCAAACCACAGCCTCTGCAGCAGTCATCCAGAATGATCAGGTCTTGGTTAATGTGTGCCAGCTTCTTCCCAATCCCCAACCACCTCTTCCCTCTCTTCCATCTCGGGACCAACCAGAGAAAGTCAAATATGTTCCCCAACCAATCACATAAGGTGCCCCTCTTCTAGTTAGCCAGCCTCCAGTGTCCCAGGCAAACAACCTCCAATCACAGCACATCTGAAGCCTTCCCTTTCTTTTATTCACCACAGTGGTTTCCCAGTCCCTGCCTGCCTTTGATACCCTCCTGACCAAATGCAAGTGACAGTGGCTGCTCTTACAAGCTCAGAATGAACAGCCTATGTTTGTTCTCATTTGGGTGACCTTGGTTTATCTCCATATCTCTAAAGCGATTCTGTACACAAACTGAACGTACTCATGAAACCAACACCCAAATCAAAGGTAACCATGCCGACTTTCAATGCCATAGATCAATTTTGCTTATTTCTGTACTTTTTGTATGAATAGAATCACCCAGTAAACACTTTTGTGTGTGTACTTTTTTTTTTTTTTTGCGGTACGCGGGCCTCTCACTGTTGTGGCCTCTCCCATTGCGGAGCACAGGCTCCGGACGCGCAGGCTCAGCGGCCATGGCTCACGGGCCCAGCCGCTCCGCGGCATGTGGGATCTTCCCAGACCGGGGCACGAACCCATGTCCCCTGCATCAGCAGGCGGACTCTAAACCACTGCGCCACCAGTGAAGCCCTCTACTGACTTCTTTTTCTCAACATCATGTCTGTGCAATATATCCACATTGAGTGTAGCAATATTTTCATTCGTATTCATTGTTGTGCACTAGTATTCTACTGTATGACTTTACCCCAACATATATATATATATATATATATATATATATATATCCATTCTACTGTGGATAGACCTTTGGGTTGCTTCCAGTTTGGGGCTATTTTGAACAGTGCAGTTAGAAATATTCTTGCACATATCTTGGTAGACATGAGCTCTTGTTTCTGTCATGTACATACCCAGGAGTGGAATTGCTGGGTCATAGGTTATGCATGTGTTCAGCTTTAGTAGATACTGCCTATTTTCCAACAGGATTTTACTAACTTACATTACCCCTAAAGTTTGAGAGTTTCAGTTGCTCTATATTTCCATCAACATTTGATCTTGTCAGACACTTTCATTTTAGCCGTCCTGATAGGTGTCTTTGTAAATTTATACTTAATATTTTTCTTGTTCCCTAGAGGTTCTAAGTTTTACTGTTTTCCTGGATTTCATTGTTATAATTGTTAATAGTACATGACTGATCAAAACAACACTTTTCTCTCCTCCCCCCCACCCCTGCCCTTGCTTTTAGACACTCCTTTAGACCACTCACAATTATATTGGAGACAGTGGGTGATAGAAGGGGGCACTTAAGGTGGGCTTTTTGCATTATTATTGTGTCTCTCCAAGGCCTGTCCCCATACTCTGCACTCAGTAGGAGCAAAATAAATATCTGTTGTATAAATACGTGAAATAAATGACATGAAAGCCTATATGTCTCCACCATACTTTGTGAGTCATCCCCGACCACTGGAGTGTATGCAGGTGTCTTACTCATTTTAGGCCTTAGACCTGGCACAGGGGAATCCTTTAACAAACAATATCTGCTAAACCAAACTGACCTCCAGCTGCCTCACCTCATTCAGCCTCAGGCCATTGAGCCTGGGCACATACAAGATGATTATATTCATATTGTCACAGCATCCCTGAGACTATATTAATTATATATTGCACATCATTACACTATTATAGCAGGTGCCAGATCTTGGCACACCGGTCAGAGATGTGATGGTGTGAAATCTTACTTTAAATGGGGTCCCAGGCTCCAGACACCTGATCAGTTGTGGGTCATGGGCATGGAGAACATCCAACTCTGGGGCCCACAGGCCAGAGTCTTCCCTTGCATTGTCCCCTCTGGTCCTTTGTCCCTCCCAGTCTTGCAGATCAGCTGTAAATTGGGTGATACTTGTATCCGTTTCATAGGGTCATTGTGAGGATTAAACAAGTTAATACATGTAAGGCACCTAGCCCAGCACCTGGTATGCAAAAAGGTATGGGGTAAGTGGTAGCACTTTTTATTATTGCTGTTATTAACAGCAGCAGCAGCAGGGATGAGGAGTGCTGAGTGACCATGCCCTGCACCAAGTGTGAACTTCATGGCCCTGGGCTACATGGAAAAGAGCAGAAAGGGGAACATGTGATTTTTATCCATAAAGAGCTATCACTTCCAGCACAGACTAGCCCAGGGACCCTGAACACTACTCTCCCTGAAGGTGGGGGTGGAGGTGTTCCTTGGCCGTCAGCTTCACGATAGTGCATTGGTAGAAAGCAAGGGACCTCAAGGCTTGAATGACTCCATTTCTAAGGAGACTCCTATAAGAGCAGGACACATGCTGTGAAGTTTGAATCTGGCCAAGAATGGGAATTTCTGCCTGCTGGAAGGGCTTTGTCAGAGCCTAAAGGAGACTCCTCGTGCAATGGGGCAAACTGCCACTGGACACACCCGTCAATCGTCACCTCTCTGGGACAGAAGCAGTAGCCAGATACTTCCAAGGAGCTTGTCAGTGAAGGAACCTCCTCTGGTTCTCTCCTCCTAAGACGGAACCAGTGCTACTCACGCTTTGAACTGGTTCAAGAGGGATGTCACCCACTGAGGCCAAGAAACCAAGAGGGGAATGCCTTGGAAGAAAAAAGAGGGCCTTTGCCACAGAATCCTCCTGTCCCAAGTCTTTCCCTTGACTTTCTGAACTCTTCACTTTCTGACTTACAAAAAGAACCTGTACAGAAAAGGGGGAATCAGGCAGGGATGAACAAGACTATCCATGAGTCCATAATTATTGAAGGTGTGTAAAGGGCACGTGGAGGGGAGAGGTAATTATTCTAGTTTCTGTACTTCAGTGTGTGCTTAAAAGCTTTCCATAAAAAAGAAGCTATGAATAATCCATGGCCTGAAAGAGTAAAGGGCATCTTGCTGATCTTTTTTTTTTTTTTTTTTTTTCTGTACGCGGGCCTCTCACTGTTGTGGCCTCTCCTGTTGCGGAGCACAGGCTCCGGACGCGCAGGCCCCGTGGCCATGGCTCACGGGCCCAGCCGCTCCGCGGCATGTGGGATCTTCCCGGTTCGGGGCACGAACCCGTGTCCCCTGCATCGGCAGGTGGACTCCCAACCACTGCGCCACCAGGGAAGCCCTCTTGCTGATCTTTGACTAGAAATTCTCCCAAATCAATTAAATCTGAGCACATCCAACCAGGGAAACAAGGTGAGAGTGTGGTATTAGTCTGGCTTCGGTGGGTCATCAAGCAGAATCGGCAGGTGTTTCCCAGGGAAAGAGAAGCAGTGGTAGCTCTTGGGCTTTGAAGGAAATGTTTCAACAGGAGAGAGAGAAAAGATGGAGAGGGATTTATATGTAGGTACCTTGGCTACTGCTGAGTCTGCCCTTAAGCGCTTAGGATGGCACTGGGCCCTCTGGCCCCACCCCGGCCTTTACACCGAGGTAAAGGGTGCTTCCCCATCTCTCTTATCAACTACCCCAAGCCCTCTCCTGGCCACAGGCCAATTCCCAATCCTCCTTGAAGTTGACATTTTATTGACAACAGCCAAAATAGGAATGCTGTTCAATGCAGGCCAAGTCAGGGCTTCTGAGCAGCATAATTTGAAATGTGCCAGGATGGTCCCTAAATGTTTCCTACACACCTTACCCAAAGGTATCTCCCACATGGCTGGTCACTGTGCTTAAAATTCTATCATTTAAGTAGCATATTTTGGGTCTACAAGCTGCTTTCTTGAGATAACTTTTTTCTAAAGCTACCTTGGGAGGGTAACACATTAAAACCAGTACCTATTCATGAACTGTTCACTGACCTGGGTACCTGGGAGGGAGGAAGCAGCACAGAGGGTTAAGAGCAAGAGTGATGGGGCGTGGTTGCAGACAGCTTGGGTAGGGACCACTCCTGGCTTCAGGGTACAGGTGGTTGCATTTGGAGAGAGGGTTGAAGAGAAGCTCAGAGGTGGAAGTAGAGGTCATTAGGTTGCTGAAGTCCCCGAGGGCAGCGTAAAGAAAGGCTGTAGCAGCCAGAGCAGGGTGCAGTACCCTGCAGACTGACAGTTTGGGGGTGGGCCACAGTGAGCCCTACCCCTTATGTCTCCACAGGGTTCTAGTTCCTATCCCTTGCAGAGCTCAGAAATGAAGGTAGCTCCCGAGGCTCCTATGCCTGGCCCTTGTCCAGCAATGGCTGCTAGGAATGAACCCACAAGGATATCCCTCAATCCGTCTGTCTGCTGGGCGGCACCCTAGCCCCCACCCTGCACAGTTGCCCCAGTGGACATGCCTCCCTCCTCACTCCCCAACAATTCCCCAGTGCATGGAATAAAGTAAGGGACAAATATAAAAGGGGCATAGGCAGTAGGGTTTGGGTCTGCTTCTAAAGGCACGGCCAAGTGCTCCAGTCCCTCCACATTTGAATAGAGATAATGTATCCACCCCTAGTAAATGAAATGTCAGGAACCATTCTAAGATTTATATAGATAAACTCATTTAATCCTCACAACACTAGGACATGTATATCTATACATAAAATTTTACTATTCATCCCCATTTTACAGATGAGAAAACAGGCACAGAGAGGTTAACAGCTTGCCCAAGAGCACAGAGTTAGTAAGATGGGATGCAGGCTTAGGCCATCCTACACTGCAGCAGTGCACGCTTACCCACTGGGCACTCTGCCTCTCATGCCCTCATCTCTACCAGGCTGGGCAGGGAGAGGTGAGAAAAGCATTTAGTGGCCACCTGCTCTGGACCAGGCACTTGACAAAGACGTGTATGCTTCAATCTCAGGAGAACCCAGTGAAGGATGAGCCATAATCCTCAGGGTCCACATGAGTAAGCAAGACCAGAGAAGGCTGATTATTTGCCAAGGCCACACAGCCCAAGAGGAGGTGGAGCTGAAATCCAAACCTTGGCCTGAGCTCTGCCCTGCATGTGCTCCCTCTCCAACCCCCATATGGAGCTGAAGAGAACAGAGACCAGGATGAGAAGGCTGGAGAGGGGCACTTAGGTGGTCCTCAGGCCTAGCACCTGATCGGGCTCCCCAGGGGTCCATGGGAATCTCCAGACCTCCTCCCCAACCTTGTGTGGCAGGGGAGGGGAACCAGAGAGGCAGGGGACTAAGTCCTTGAAGATGGGCCACTCCGCTGCTCCTGGGGCAATAGCCTGAGGCTGGGCCACTGGGGGCTGGAGTGATGTTCTGTGGGGTCTCCTACCCCCCCCATTGGCTGCCAGGGACCAGGGCAGGATGGGGGATGTTTCCGACCCCCTGCGGTCTCCAGTAGCACCTCCTGATCCTTGCACTTGGGTAAAGAGGGATAAGGCCTAGACGGGGGCACCTCCTCCAGAGGATAAGGGCAACAACCAGATGGCCAGGTGGGCGAGGTCTGGAGCACTCAGGGCAGCCCAGGGCCCAGAAAGCCAAGGATGGTGGGGGAGCTGCCAAGGGCAGGAGCTGGGATGGAAATGCTGCCTCGCCTCTGACCCAGCCTCTGCCAGCCCAGAGATAGCGTCAAGGATGGTGGGACAGCTCAACTCAATGGCTCAGGCAGATGTACCATGGGAAAGGGAGCAGATGCGTGATAGGGAGGGCCCAGGAGTTTCACTGGAGTGGGCGCCGCCGGTACAGTGTGGCCAGGAGCGCAGCTAGGAGCACCCCAGCCACGGCCACCCCAAGCCACGGAGCCCAGGGCAAGTTCCTGACCACCAGCAACTCCTCCAACTCTTCCTCCTCCCGGAATTCTGGGGCCGTGTGTGTCCCAGGGCTGTCCCCCAGGATGGGGGTACTGGGGCCCCCGTGGATCCTAATGGTGTCCTCCGACTCGTACTCGTTTTCCTCCGGAGCGTTGTCAGGCCCCACGCCCAGGGAGTTACTGTGGCTGATGGCGAGGTCTGCGGAGCAGCCCGAGAACGGTTGGCTGTCCATTCTGGATACCAGCCTGCCAGGCTTGCTCAGCTCCAGCTCTGAGCCCCAGCAGTCAGAGCTGCTATCTGGCCATGGCGAGGTGCCTCCAGTGGCAGTACCTGTGGGTGCTGGAGATGCTGGAGTCTCCTGGGAAAGAAAGGAGGGACTGGAGGGACTGAGGATGGTGGGGGGCAAGCCCAGGTTGGGTGGCCCCATTCCCAAAACAGGCCAACCCCTCAGTTCCCAGCCCATAGTGCTGTGAGGCAACCCTCTCTTGGGGACTCAACCCACTGATGGTGCAGGAGGACAGTGGGGGAGGAGGGGACTAAGGCCCTGCAGGAGCATCAGTGGTGAACTCCTCCAGGGCTGAAAGCTCTACTCACTGGCCTGCCTGTGAGCTCACTCCCACCCCAGGGAGCACTTGGTCATGTGTGGCCCCATCTTCTTTGACATTATGCCTGGGCTTGATGGCCATGAAGCAGCCACAGGGTCAGAGGCTGGACCGTGCACCCAAGGGGCCCCATGGACTTGGTTCTTCCAGACAGACAGCAGCAGTAGGGTTAGACGTGCAGGCTCCGAGCAGGCAACTGTGGAGGCTGCTAGGGTCAGAGATGGATGGGCTGGGACTGCAGTTTGTAAAACCCTGGTCATGGTGGGGCAGGCCAGATATCCCAGTGGTGAAGAGCAAGGCATCGAGGCAAACAGGCTACCCTGCTCTACCCCTCAATGTTTCCTCACCTGCAAAATAGTATTGATGAGCTTAAAAGGGAGCTGTGAGCTCTAAATGGGTTAATGCATGTGACCAGTGGAGGTGGCCCAGCAAGCCTGACTCTCCTGAAGCATTCACACTTAAGAGTTCTAATGATTATTATTACTCTAAAGGACATGGTGTTAGGTCTGGATGAGGCTAGGTCTCAGCTGTCCCTATGCCCTCAGAAGAAGCCCTGGACCAGCCTAGGCTGGAGACAGAATGGAGACTGGAAAGGGTACAAGGAAGAGGCCTGGATCACTGCTAGGAGGGGCGAGGACTCACCTCCACAAGTCTGTTGCTGTTCCTGATGGTGGGCCCTGTGTTGGCAGACAGCTTTCTGGGCACCGTGCACATATGTTTCCTGTGGCCAGGCACCAAGCCAGTAGGCACTTTGGGTGGCACCACGCCAGAATGCACTGAGTTGATGGGCAATTTGGATGGTGCTAGACTGGTGAGCACATTAATGGGCATTGCACCAGGGGGCTTCAAGCTGGTGGACAACTTGGAAGGCACTGTGCTGCCAAATGCTGAGTTGGTGGGCACCCCTGCCCCGCTGGAGCAGATGGTACCTTCAGCCTGGTCACCAGCACCTCCTGCAGAGGCCAAGCCAGTGGAGGAGGAGGAGGTGCCAATAGATGGAGCTGACACTGGGGGTCCAGGCAAGCAGCTTGCCCTGGGGGTAGAACGGACCAAGGGCTGGAAGGAGACAGTCGGAGACACAGGCCCATAGGATGATGTGAAACTGGAGACCACGCCTGCAGGTGGCAAAACAAAATGAGAAACACAAACCCACAGGAGTGTTATCCTAAAATCACAGTGGCCTTGGGATCAGAGGGCTGGAGAAGGGTCTCTCTGTCCCAGCTCACACCATCCCTATTGCATCCAAGCCTCCCAACCTCCTACCCATGGAGGACTCTCCACAGTCTCTTTGGTTCCCAGGGCTGAAGGCCCAATGGTTGCAGATAAATCCTTGGTCCTGTCCCTCCTCAGTCCTTGACGTGTTCTCTCACAAGAGCAAAATGATCCCTCCCTTTAACAGGGTCTAGGAGCTTGAAAATCATTATTAATTTTCCTCTCTGCTTTTTCTTCTCCTGCCTAGGACACCCCCCTTTCCTCTTGTGTCTGCCTCTTCCATCCTCTCCTTAGACAAGTGGAATCCTGGATGTTTCTCCCACTGCCATCTTTCCTCTCAGCAGGAACAATCCTAGGCCAGGGCAAGAGGAGCAGGATGGCTCTTCTTAGAAGAGCTCACACCAGTCATGTGGCACCAGAGGCCCAGTCAGCCCCCAGTGTGTGCAAATCTTCTAGGAGGCCCAAGGGCTTGGGGGTACAGGGACAAAGCCACCCCTGGGAGGAGAGTCTGAACTGGGGGAATCAGGAGGGAGCAGGTGGTGATGGTCCATAAAGGCAGCTACATAAGGATTCACCATGGAACTCTTGAGAACACACATGCCTGGCCCTACAGCTGACAAAGGTCGGGAGTGATTCTGATGTCCACCACCCCCCATCCCAAAGCTAACACCACAGAATCTCATGGGACCTGTGTCCATACTCATACTGAAATCAAAGTGCCCTCTGCCTCCCTGGTCCACAGCAGCATTTCTTGAAAAGATGTTCCACAGCAAGCTGACAATGCAAAGTGCAAAAGGATACGTGGGTTAGAGTTTGGTGTGACAGGAGCATGGGACGCTAAGGTGGCTTCTCTGAGCTCCTGTGTCTTGTGGCTGTTCCGTGGGCACTGTGGGCTGGCTGGGCATCACTGTCATGTGGAACACAGTTTGGGAAATAGTGGTGCAGAGATGCCAGCCTGAGACATCAGAGTAGATAGCACTATATTCCTGAGATGTCTGATATAAGGGTCCAGGCCCTTGGCTGATGAAGAACATACTTCTCCTGGGGGCTGAAAAGTTTTAGTGATTCACTGGGAGCTAGAGACCCCTTTAGGGTAGGGCAGTGCTCCCTGACAACAGCTGGCCCAGCCCTGTACTCTTCTTGCACTGTCCTCCAGGTCCTGGCGGATCCCTACATAGTCCCTTTGGTATAGCGCAGGCATGGCCCTAATTCACTTCTACCTGTATCCACGCCCTCTGCAATGTGACCTTGTCAGTCCTCTCATGTAGGGATGGAGTCTATCTTTCTACTCCTTGATGCTGGGCTGGCCTTGTAACTTGCTTTGTCCCACAGAAAGAGGCAGGAGGAAAACTGCGCCAGTTTTGAGCCTATGCCCCAGAAGCCCACTCTCCCTCTCTCAGAACTCTGCTCAGGTATATGAAATGGGCTTGACTGCTGGAAGGTAAGAGACTCATAGAAGAGAACTGAGGTGCCCCAGCCAACAGCCGTAAACAGCTTATATGTACCCTGATGCATATATAAGAGGGAATTCAGCCCATCTGAGCCAGCCCAAATTGCTGACCCACACAATCATGAGCTAAGTAAATAGTCGTATTTTAAGCTACTAAATTTTGGGATTGTATGTTACAAAGCAAATACTAACCAATATGCCCTCTGAGGAACTGGGTTGTTCCCTGGGGTGAACTCATTTCCCTGGGGAATACCACCTTTGCCTCCTGTCCAAGAAAACCAGAGGGGCAACTCTAACCCTTACCCTCACTGGGAGGTCAGAAAGGCCCTATAACTCCAGGGTCCATGCATACCTGCTGTGTGGGTAGTGCCCAGTTCTGTGTCTTGCTCCTGATGTCCACTGCAGGTCAGAGGGCTGAGGGCCACCGTGTCAGATGAGGGCTGCAGGGGGCCACCCAGCCTCTTGAGGACAGCCCCAGAGCTGGGTGGCTGTGGGGCTTTCTTCGAACTCTGCACGAAGGAATATATGAATAAGGCAGTTGCTTCTCCCAGGAGCTGGCAAAGGGCAGCTTATGCTTGGGATGGCTCCTACAGGCCACAGCCCATGCCATGAAGCACAGGACCAAGGAAGCCCTTGCCTCGGCTTTGGTCATTGCCAGGACTTCTATCTGCAGGTGACTTTGAAGCCACCTCATAGAAAATCATCCTATGGGGGGTCCCTATTCATCTGTCTGGCCCTAAAGAAAGGTCCCCATCTTTGGGGCCACTGCACAGACCCCTTTCTTATGCTTCAAGTCCAAGTGGTGTCTCCTGGACACCTCACTGCCCACTCATCCTATCCCAATAGAATCAGTCATCTTAACCCCCAAACTTTACTGGCAATGATTACAGCTCCAAACATCCCCCCCTTCCCCCATCACCTCCTGCATCCTCACTCTCCCTCATCTGGTCATCCCCTGATCCCTTGACCCAGCTCAACATCTCACATGGACCACTGCAAAGACCTCAGAATTGTGACCTCACAGCTGGCTGATGACAGAGGGGTGGGGGCTGCCACATAATGAAGACCTGGTTGGCAGTCCGGGAGCTGGGGCAGATCCATATTGGGGGAGCCCTGGGGTTCTGAGCAGAGATTAGGCATGATTTGTCGGGGACTTCCGGAAGGCTGGGTGAGCAGAAGTGGGCAGACGGGAACACAAAAGCAGGAGGTTCAAGGTAGATCGTGAGGACACACCTCTCCCAGGGACTCTGGTGACTGGGTGTCCTGGACAGGCATAGGGTAACTTGGCTCGTCCTCTCTGTAGCCATTGCAGGGGATGCTGGGGGCCACAGCAGGTGTGGATGGCCCTGGAACCCCAGCAGGAACTGATGGCCGCTCCAGTGGGGATGGGGAGTTGTTCGGATTCCCTGAAGGACAAAGATATTGTGATGTCAAGGAGGAATTGGGGTGCTCTCAGTGACAAGAGAGGCCTGGGTGCTCCTAGAACTCCAGGTCCATGGCTATCAGTCCCCCACAGCATCAAACTCTATCCTGACGTGGGCAGTACTCCTCAGAGGAGACCAGCTTCCCGAAGCAGGAGGCAGGTATCGGAGGGAGTGGTGGTGGAGAGGACAAGGAGAGGTAGGAGGAGTAGTGGGGGAAGTGAGAGTGTTGGGGGCACCTCGCAGGCCTCTCACCACCCAGACTGTGTCAGCAGTCACCACTTCTCTTTCCCCAGGCATTCTGGGACACCGTGGCTTTCTTCTCCTCCTCGTGGGTGGCTTTCACCACTATCTGACCCCTGACCTAAAGCTTCCTCCTCAGCCCCTCCCCTTTGCCCCCACCATCCACGCCTGGCCCTACCACAGCTGTTTTTATCTGGGGGAATCACTGGTAATCTCCACAAATGAAGAGATGTTAGAAAGGAAGGAGGGGAGGAAGGAAGGGAGGGGGAGGAAAAAAAAGAAAGGCAAACATGGGGATATTTTAAGGCTGTAAATCTGAGCAGTGTCTCAGGAATTGTCTCTAGTCTGAAATATATATAGGGCTGGTGTGAATTTTCTTCCTGCCTCAGCCCCTGAGACCCTGGCCTCAGCAGACCCCCTCTGAGTACTTGGCCTGGCAGGGAGCATTGAGAGGGCTTTGAGGGATAACTGGGCAGCTGCGGGGGTGGGAGGCAGCTAAGGAGGCTCTAGGGGAAACCAGTGGGAGGGGAAGAGATGAGGGGAAAGGAAGTAAGGAGCCCATGAGGAAGAAAGAAGAGACAGTGAAGGGAGGGGGAGAGAAGAGATGAGCAAAGAGAGGGAAGGCAAACTGAGGGAGAGTAGACGGGAGGAAATGAGAAAAGCGTGGGAGGCAAACGTCACAGCCACAAAAATTAGAGGAGGCTCCATTTGCTGAGCACATGGAAGGTACCCAGCCCCAGCTAAGCACTCAACATGCCGTCATCCCATGGTATCCACTGCAGCCCTACAAGGTAAATGTTGCCATTAGCCCCATTTTACAGAGAAGAAGACTGAGACTTAGGGAATAAAGGGGCTTGGCCAAAGGGTTAATAAAGATTAATAAGTGGCAAAGCATGGATCTACACTCAGGTTTGTCCACTGCCCAGGAGTGATGGGAGGGAGGATGAGAGATGAAGACAGCAGGTATGGGGTGAGAGGAGAGGGAGAGTGGAGGCCAGGGAATCAGACAGGAGTTCCAGAAGAAGGGCCAAGGTGGGAGGCTCACGTAGCAGGTTGCTCTGGTAGACTCGGTCCACTTCATCAGCGAGACTGGACAGTTCACAGGCCCTCAGTGCCCCAATGAAGGAAGGCACCCAGCCGTTCCTCCGCCGAAGGCTGTTGAAGAGGTCCCAGAGAGTGCCCTGGTTCCCCCAGCGCTCATAGGAGGCCCGCAGTCGGTCCTGAAAGACACAGCCCTGCCACCAAGCTCAAGCCTGGTAGCCCTAACCCCCTCCCCACTCTGGAGGGGACAGCTGCAGATGGAGGTACCTAGAAAGCTACAAGATGGAAGCAACCATCTGAAACTGAGTCAGAGCCCAGGACAAGGCCAGAGTTTAAGCCCAAGTTTAAAGGTCCAGGAAATAGGCCTTACTGTGTCCCAGGCTCTCTGCTCAGGGCTTTGCATGAATTATCTTATTTAATGCTATTATTACCCCTACTCTACTGATGAGGAAACTGAGGCTTAGCACATACAAACAAGCAACCAGATAGCAGAAACAAAAACCCACAGGAAAAAAAAAAAAAAAAAACTCACAGAAAACATTTACTGCAGAACTAAATGGCAAGGTATTCCCACAAACACCAAAATACAAGAGGGAGGAGCCAAACCCTACCAGCCACAAACTCACATACCACCGGTATCTGCATGGAGGAAGCAGGGGGAGGCCTCAGGGTTCAATGTGGGGACAGCTAAAACTGGGAGGGGCCAGGCTCACTTCACTAGGGGCCCACAGCAAGTGCTGAGGGAGCTAGCACAGTCTGGCTCCCAAAGACTCTCAAAGTTGAGCCCCAGGCGCCCTGCCAGGATGGGTCCCATGACTAGGAGAATGCAATTGAAACTAAACAGGAACAAGGACAAAAGAGATAAAGAAAAAGAAGGTTCCGATGAAAGTGGGTGAGGGGTCCCAAGCCCAGAAATCTCAGTGCCATATTTTGGAGCACTATACCAAAACGACACAAGAGGGAGCTCAGTGAGGTTGGAAAGGACACCCTGAGCCACACTTCATTCTGAAAGTTAGAAAACTGTCAAGGATGGGAAGCAAGATACAACAGAGAAGGAAGGAGTTGGTCCTGGCTTGGGAGAAGCTCTGAATTCCACAGCCCTGCCCCCAGTCCATGCCTGGTTGTCACGCCCCGGCTCACCTGGTCACTTATTGTGAGGCAGGATAGGTAAGGCAGAATCTCCAGAACATGAATATTGCAAAAATTGCCATGATGGTCGCGGATATACTGATAAGTCTTGTCCTCAGCAAACGTCATCGCTGTCTGGGTTCTGAAGTGGCAGAGGGCTCTGGCCCATGAAGGGTGGATGGACTGAGAGAGAGGAAAAAAGACTGGAAGAAAACAGACCACACATGGCAACAGAGTTGGGAGTGGAGTTGGACAAAAGGCAATTCTCTCTTTCTTTTTCAACTCTTTGGAATTTTTGCTCTTTTCTTTAATCATCCTATTTTACTGCTTAAGTCTCAGAGGCCCTCAATGAATTTGCCTAAAAACAAATTGGTGAAAAAAAAAAAAATCAGATCTAGAAGACCTAGGGCCCATTTCTGCCCTGCAGGTCGGTCATTGCTGGGGAGAGCTCTGGCTCCTGCCCCATTATCCCCAGGTCTGAATGTGCCCCTAGCTTCTGATAGCAAAAGGGCACCGCCTAGAAGTGCTGCTCCTTTGGAGTATACTGAGGGGGAAGGGGAGGAGAGGGAGGAGGAGGGGTAGGAGGGAGAGGATGGGGAAGAGGAGAAGGCACCCAACATAATAATAGGATCTATCCTATTCTTACCGTGAAGAAAATGAAGCACCAAGGAATTAAGGGGATTTGCTAGTGAGTAGAAGAGCAAAGAACTGAGGTCTTCAGGATCTGGGATCAGGTTCTTCCCAGAACATGACTGCAGGCCCACAATTACACTAAAGCTTGCTACACACATTTTTTAAATTAAAAAAAAATTTTTTTTTTTAAATTTTTGGCTGTGTTGGGTCTTCATTGCTGCACATGGGCTCTCTCTAGTTGCAACGAGCGGGGGCTACTCTTCGTTGAGGTGCACAGGCTTCTCATTTTGGTGGCTTCTCTTGTTGCAGAGCACGGGCTCTAGGCGCACGGGCTTCAGTAGTTGTAGCACATGGGTTCAGTAGTTGTGGCTCGCAGGCTCTAGAGCTCAGGCTCAGTAGCTGTGGCGCATGGGCTTAGTTTCTGCGCAGCATGTGGGATCTTTCCGGACTAGGGCTCGAACCTGTGTCCCCTACATTGGCAGGCAGATTCTTAACCACTGCACCACCAGAGAAGCCCTACATACATATTTTTTCAGTAGGAGGCTGAGTTCCACTTCTGGGTGTGACCCCAGGCAAGTTATCAGCCTTTTCCAGGCTTGTCCTCACCCCTAAAATGGCTCAGAGAGGTTGTTTTGACAATACAGTAGTTCAGCCTTATAAGCCTGAAATTTAAAAGTACCCCCAATAGAATCAATTGCCGCAGGTTGCTTATGTAGCACTTAACACAATTTTCAATTATAGATCTGTTGTTTGCTTGTTTCTTATTTGCCTTTCTCATGGGAGAGAGCTGCAGGGAATAAGACAGACAAGATCTCTGCCACCATCCAATTTACATTCTACTGGAATGAGACAGATAACAAATCAGAAAACATACACATAAATAAGAATTCCAGACAGTAATAAAGGTTACAGAGAAAATAAAGCAGATGGTGAGACACAGCCCCTGAAGAAGGGCATGCTGCTTGAACTGGGATGGGGAGGGAAGCTTTTCTGAACTGACATTTGAGCTGAACTCAAATGTAAGAAGATCAGTGTTTTGGGCAGAGGGCACAGCAAGTGAGAAGTCCTAAGGTGAAACAAGCTTGGCATGTTTGAAGAATAGAAAGTAGATTGGAGTTGTCCAGGTTTAGAAAGCTAGGGGGAGGGGCAGAGTTCAAGTCAAGGAGGCTGGGAAGGGCCACTAATGTAGGGCATTATAGGAAGGGACTTTGGGTTTTATTTGGAGTGAAACAGGGAGCCATTGGAGGGCTCTGAGCAGGAAAGGGAGAGGATTTTATTTGATTTGACTTATTTGATTTATGTTAAAGACCTCTGTGGTGGTTGTGAGGATCCTGGACTGGGGAGGGGGCAGGACGGAAGCAGGGAGACAAGTCAGGAGGCCACAGCAGGGAATACATGATGGGTATGGCCAGGATGGTAACCATGAAGGTGGCAAGAGATGGCTGGATTCCTGGTATTTTGTGGATATGGGAGGTGAAGGAGAGAGAAGAATCAAGGCACTAGGTGGATGGAGGGTGCCACTCAGCAAGCCAGAGAGTCTGGGGGAGAAGCAGTGGTGCAGAGAGGACTCCAGAGTTCCATTTTGAACAAGTGAAGCTTGAGATGCTATTGGATGTCCAAAGGGGTTTTCAGGGAGGGAAGTGGGCAGAGGAGAGGGGCAGGCTGGAGTAGAAACTTGGATGTCAAGCTTGGGTGGGACCTCTAAGAGACAGTGCTGCAGAGTAGAGAGTGCCCAGAAGCTGCTGAGGCCACCAGTCCCCTGCCACATGGGAAATGGAGCAGTAGTCCTCCCTACCTGCAGCCCACCAGCCTCATAGCCACATGCTGCATGACCTGCTTTGCCAACCACCAGGTGCTACATTCCTGGTGGGGCGAGTACCAGTGACAGAAATCAAGAGGATCAGAGAGGTGGGGCGGGGGAACAACTCTGTGGTGGCGAACAGATCCCTCCTTCCCTCCCATGGGACCCAGAGAAGTACCAGGAGAGAGTCAGGTGATACATTCTTCTGCATCCCAGCCTCAGCCTTTGAGGCAAAGAGTTTGGGGAGTATGGGTGTATGTAATTGTCCAACCAAAAAGAAAGGAAGCCCATATTTGTTCACATTTATTGAGGGTCCACTATAGGCAGGCACATCCTAAGTTTCTTTCATTTAATTCTTGCCACAATCCCAAGAGGACAAGCGATGCCAAGTTGCACAGCTGACCAGTGGCTTAACAGGATTTGAACCCAGGACTTGCTGCCTCATTGCAGCTCACCATACACCTTGCAGGGCTTAGAGACCCCTGTGGCAAGTGAGACTCACACAGCCCCCTGCCTTGAAGCCCTGGAAGGGGCCAAGGACACTGCCTGGGTGAGGGGGGTCGCTAAGTGACTGTGTGCCTCGGAAGATGCACTATTTAGTCCCTTCTCTTGCGAGGTATGGAAATCTTTCGGACACGTCTGAGGACGTTCTAACCCTGCCCTCCACAACAGCCGGGTTCTCAGGTTCTTCCAGATGTCCTTCCAGATGTTTTTGAGCCTCCAAACGAAGAATGTCGGTTTTGTTTTTTCCAGTGTTTTCCAGGCACCTCCTTCCGGCCTCAGATAAGATGTGGGGCGGATAGTTCCTGACCGTCGCGTCTAGGAGAGTTCTGACCCGACTGCGCCAGAAGCTGAGTTTAGACCGCTCCGCCCTCCCGGAAGGGGCGAGGCCTCACAGTCTCGGCTCCTATTCCTGAATTCCCGGGCCAGACCCAGGTCCGCGGAGGACCGGGAGGCTGTTCTGAACCACCGAAAACAGCCAAGAACCAAGGGAGGGCAGCAGTCCGCGACCCCCAAAAGCGCGGCCGCCAGAGATTGGCGCACCTGGGCTAGGCCTCGCCTGGGAGTCACCCTGGGCCTGTGGGCAACTGGAGGAGCTCAGTAGCCAGCGCCCTTCTCCTTCCGGCCCAACCTCCCCTCCAGCCCGAGCAGGCGCCCGCGCCACCCACCTCCCGAGCCCCCGGTGCTGGATGCGGTGCACGGAGCTCTCGCTGCCCCGAACACCCTATGCGTTAGTACCTGCTCTTCCCAGCTCCCCGCGCGCCCCAAGCCCCGTGCACCCCGGCGGACTCCTAGTCCCACTCGGCTCCTGCGCCGCGTACCACCTCCCCGAAAGGCATCTGTGCGCCCTGAGTCCAGAGGACCGAGCTCCCAAGGTGACGATCTTACCTTGGGTAGCCACGACCCGGCGACCTGCCTCCAGTCGCGGACAGCCGGGAACCCTCCCCTTCAGGGAGGGAAGGGCGGGGGGTAGGGCCGCGCGGCCATTGGGCAGACAGCGGGGGCGGGCACTTGGCCTCTGTTTGCGGGGCCTCGAGGCTCTGGACGCGCGCTCGGGACAGACCTGGGTTCCTACTAAGTCCACGAAAGTGCAGATGATCTTTCCGTCTTCGTCTCGAGCAACTTCCAGGGGAAGCCCAGGGTCTGACTAGAAACCAAGTAGAAACCGTGGTGGGCTCGATCCCGACGCTTCCCACGCGAAGCTACCCCCTCCTTCCGCCGAGTAATTTGAGGGGTGAGGGTCTTTATGTAGTTCGCTCCTGGACGCCCAGGGCCTAAGCACACAGTCAGTGCTCAATAAACGTCCGGTGTCACGCAGAGTTCACAAGGGTATGAGTGCCCAGCCAGGCGACACTCATTCTGGACCTGAGGAGGCAGGATCGGGGCATGTAGCTGTATGCAGGGCAGGGGCGCCAAGGTTGGCTCGCCCGGCTCGCAGGGTGTGGGCCTTGAGTGCTGCGTGGGAAAGGCCTCCTCCGATCAATGATTTAGGGCGGTACCTCACGGCAGTGCTCGCCTACCACCTCGCCCTTCCTCTGCTGGGCCAGAGGCCAGCAATTATTGAGTGCCCACTGAGTTCCAGGTACAGACTTAAAGTCTTATACCTTAGGGCCCATTAAATATCCGCAAAATAACCAGGTAGAGGTTTATTTTTTCCTATTTTAAAGAAAGATTAAAAGATTTGGAAAAAAAAAAAGATTTGGAAAAACGTTTGGCAGTTCTTAAGTTAAACATATGCTAACCCTATCACCCAGCAATCACTCCTGGTTGACCTATGAGTCCACCTGGAAACATGCACAATAGATAATGTTCATAGTGGCTGTATTGACAATAGGCAAACTCTGGAAACAACCCAAATGTCCATTAATAGAATGGAGAGACAAACTGTGGTGTACACAGAAGTGAAAAACAACAAAGGCGAAAAACTATCGATACAACATGCATGAATCTTACCAGGATGAATGGGCAACATGGCTAAACAAGCCCAGCACAAAAAGTACATGCTGTCTGTTCCCAGCCACAAGGTACGATAAGGTTCAAAAACAGGCAAAACTCGTCTACATAAACAGAAATCATATCACTGGTTACCTCTGGGGAATGTTGAGGAGTGGGTACAAAAGAGCGTTCTGGAGTGATGGAAATGTTCAATATCTTGATGTGAGTGGTGGGTACCTGGGCTTGCACATATGTAAAAATACGTCATCTGTACACTTAAGATTGTTACACTTTTTAGGACTTCCCTGGCGGTCCAGTGGTGAAGACTTTGCCTTTCAATGCAGGGGGTGCAGGTTCGATCCCTGGTCGGGGAGCTAAGATCCCACATGCCTCGTGGCCAAAAAAAGGCCAAAACATAGAACAGAAGCAATGTTGTGACAAGTTCAATAAAGACTTAAAAAAAAAAAGTCACATCAAAAAAAATTCTTTTAGAAAAAGTGTTGTTACACTTTATACTGCAACTTTGAAAAGAAAGACAGGGCTTCCCTGGTGGTGCAGTGGTTAAGAATCCACCTGCCAATGCAGGGGATGGGTTTGAGCCTTGGTCCTGAAAGATCCCACATGCCACGGAGCAACTAAGCCCCTGTATCACAACTACTGAGCCCGAATTATAGAACCCACGAGCCACAACTACTGAACCCCTGTACCACAACTATTGAAGCCCACACACCTAGATCCCATGCTCCGGAACAAGAGAAGCCACCGCAATGAGAAACCTGGGCACCTCAACAAAGAGTAGCCCCCGCTCGCCGTAACTAGAGAAAGCCAGTGCGCGGCAACGAAGACCCAACACAGCCATAAATAAATAAATAAATAAATAATAAATTTTTTCAAAATAATAAAAAAAATTTTTTTAAACTTAAAAAATAATGACAGACAACTAAGGGCTAAGAGGTTTGGCTGAGATCACTTGCAAATGCCTGAGCACACACCTGTCTCCAAAATCA